TGTTTTCTAAGCAAAAATGCCAAAATGAGATGTGACACCAAACTGGGCAGCAAAAAGAACCCAATTTCCTGGTGGCACCGACACAAGACCTGCAAGACCACCACAGCATCCAGCTCCCTGGGACAGCCTGGCTGCATCCCTCCTCCTCCCTGCAGAGCAGGGCAGCTTCCAAGGGACGTAAATCAGAAGTTTGGATGATTATTTTGCAAACTGAGACACAGCCCTCCTGCAGCGAAGGGGGGCATGGTGCTCAGTGAAGCACAAAGTGTCCTAGATTAGATGTGGTCTTCAGGATCACCTTCCTTTGCCTGCACTCCATCCCCACAAATCTTTAACACCTTCAAGATCTTCCTTAATTTTTTTTTATATATGGGGGGGAAAAAGCATATGCAGCCAGCCTGTTCCTGACCATTTTTAGCATTTTTCTTTCCCTCTGCATATTTCCCAGTTCTCTACCCACACATACCCACACTACAGACAAACCATCCTAAAAAAAAAAAATTGAGAGAGGTCTAAAAAAACAACAGCAATCCAGGGCGTCATCAGCTTCCAGAAATGAAAACTGGCTTGTGAAACCACAACCTCTTTCTGTTGTTGTTGTTATTTTTTATATGGGGATTTTTTTGCAGTCTTTTACGATCTTGTTTTAAAAAATGGCACAAATTTGCTCCTTCCTCACCCTGCTCAGCCCTCTCTCTCTCTCTCTCCCCAGCTATATTCAGAAAGCATTTCTCGCCAGCCTTGCTCATCTCGCATTTCAGGGCAGAGCAAATGTTTGTGCACCGAGGGGGGGCAGGGATGATGAGTCAATTAGACACCTAATAAAAATGTGATTTAGAAAATTCCCTTCCCGGCTGTGAGCGTGGCAGTCACCAACCAGCCCGCCCAGCGCCCCCCTTGCAGGCAGAGAATGGTTTCCTACGGTGAAACCTCTCTCAGCCTGCATTAAATGTCATGTAGGATGAGGCATCTGCCACTGAATGTGAGAGACACCATCACAGCTTAATAAATCACGCTGCCAGAAGGACTTTTGTGCCATCACCACTGCTCTTTTAACCAGCCAGCCTTCCCCCTCCGTATGCTCCCGTTCATCACCGTGCCCTGCAGCCCTCACGTGTTCCAGCTGATTAACTCCTCCTAGAAAAGGCAGCCAAGCTAAGCTCTCTGAGCCCTCTGGTCCTGCAGCCACCTCTTCTGTTGTTGCCATCACTCCAGCCACGACTTTCCGAGCCTCAAAGGAAAGCCCAAGGGATGGACCATTTGTCATCCACGTGCCACTTATGATCCCGACAGCACCCACCACTGCCTTTTCCAGGCACGCACTAAATTGGAGGGTGGATGGGAGGGATGGTGCCTATTCCTTCTCCTTGCAGATGGCCAGGCCACAAAGCACCCAAGCAGAGTCACATCCTTCCTTCCAACCTCCTCTCCTTGGACCGGACCCAAACCACCCACCAGTGGAGACGTGTTGGACCTGCACGTTCTCCCACGGTGCACAACCTTCCCTCACAGTCCACAACCCTCTCTCCTAGTGCCTCCACCCTGGCAACACCTCGAAATGTGCTCGTTTCCCATGCATAAAGTGCAATCTGAGCAGTTTTAGTATTTTAGGTTAGATTTTGATTCCGTGGGACTGATCGGGTTTAGACGAGGAAATGTTGAAAAGCCTCCCTGAGCTTTGGCACGTCTGAGCAGCTTCATTTCGAGCAGAACACAGCACTGCAATATTCATGCCACCAGAAACCAGTTCCATATTAAAAAAGGGCTGAATTTTTAAAAATGTGACAGTAAAACCAGCCGTTTCATAACCAACACCCCTGCAGGATGCAACCAAGCCAGATGGATGTTACAAAGGAGCACAGAGGCATTTCTGGGACTGCACCAGCCCCCTGTGAAACCTGCCACCAGGCACGTCAGCCAGCCACGCTCACCAGCAACTACTGGGGCCAGCAGCCAGCAGGACTGGGATGAGGACTGGTCTGGCTGTGCTGATCATAGTCTGGAGTAACCAAAATCACAGAGGAGTGGAAGGCCGTAGAATCATGGAATGCTCGTTTCCATCAACAGCTTTACACCCTTCCCACAATGGAGCTGGTGGTTTCCTTTGTAGGACAGATGATTTTGTTGCAACAGGAGGGCCCCTGTTTCATCTTGCTCTGGATAAATATACCCAGTTTTGCGGCTGGGTAAAGTAACTAAACTCATTATTCAATCAAACTTGCCTGGATTTTTATCTTCCTTTTCTCCAGTGGTCCCAGGGGACAGCAGGAGGGGTCCAGGCAGGAGAAGGCTCTGAGAGGGCAGCAAACAGTGGCCAGGGGGCTCCAGACTCCAGACAGGTTAAAGTCCCTGGATTCAGTGGCAATGCCAGCAAAACAGAACAGGGAGAGCATGAGCCAGGTAAGGATTTATCAGCCATCCCAGAATAATGCATGTATTTTCCAGTAGACAAGTCTCCTCCTTTCCCCAGCAGAGTCCAGCCCATGGGAGTGCTAGAACAGATATAAAACCCAGGCTTCTGGCTGCTTGCTGGAGATAGCACATCCCAGAGTAGCCAAATGCAGGGGAAGGAAGGATACTGCCCTTGGATCCGTCCTTTGCAGCCATGAAAACAAGTTAATGTTGGTGCAATTAGAGTGACCATTATTTGCTTCACATTCATAAAAATGTGAGGAAAGATGTATGCATTTTAATTAAGTTCTGGGAGAAAAAAATGCATACCTGGCTAGACTGCAGAGAGATGAACTCATTACTTCATCCATGTCTCAGGCTGCTGCCTATTTTCCCCTGCAACAGAACAATCAGCCTGGTCTGCAGACGGGGACTTTAAAAAGCAAATAATCCTCCTGAAAGAGCCAGGCCAGCACTCTGCAATTCCTGAATCCCTGAACTGGGAGTCTTCATGCAGCCACATTTCTAGTGAGACCCATGGGCAAGCACTCAGAAAGCCAAAGGGGGGAGCTCCCCAAATCAGGGTGGCAGGAGGGGTCACTGATGGAGCTCACTACGAATTTTTCCAGCAGCCAGACGGCTCCTGCAGCTGCCAGACTTTTCCATAGGTTGGATTTGCCCAGGTCTGATTTTCTGCTACAGGACCAGCCCAGGCCTGAGCTGCCCTTTTCATCTCAGGAATGCACAGCTGCAAAAGTGAGGTCGAGGTTCCTCTTGCAGGACGTGGCTCCAGGAGTGGGGATTTGTGCCCAAGCCATTGAGGCCACGCTGGGATCACATTTGTGCTCGGGCTGCACACCATGGGAGGGATGGGCAGGTGGGGGGTGCAGGCACCCAGCTGTCCCTGATTTAAAAAAAAAACAGCAAAACCCATCCAGTGCTCAAACAGCGAAGTAAAACAAGTCAAAAACCCTAAACCCTCATCCAGAAAGTTTTTAGGGCATAAAGAAAGAAAGAGCAATCACCATCAGCCTCCTCTCCCCCGAGAGCCAGCTGAGCAATGTTCCATGATGGAAAACACTCAGGCAGAACTCCTGTGAAAGGCACAGCTCCTCTAACAGTCAGATTTGGTGTCTCTGGGCTTGATAAAGACTGAAAAATCTGTTTGCTGCTATTGCTCCTTGTATGATGAGACTGGAGCAGGTAGATCTTGTGCTTTGAGGTGCCAGTCAACAGTCCCAAGTGTTGGGTGGAAATCCCATGTGCCCCCCTTGCTGGCATCACACAGTCAGACCCACCAAGACCCCTCCCCAGCCAAATCCCTGTGGAAGTCAGTGAAACACATCTATATCCTTAGAGTTAAGCATTTCTTTAAGTGTTCTGCCAGAGTTTTGTGGAGCGAGGCACAAAGGTGGCCAACGGTGCCACAGCCTGGGGCAAAACCCCTCCACTTCACAAAGAGCTGACAAAATTGGGCAGCATCTGGTCTCTACCAGTGACATGGCCTCTGCAGGAAGGGCGTCGAAACAGTTCCTAGAAGCTGCAAGACCCAGGACCACAGCTCTGAGAGCTGCTGGCACGTCAAAGCCGCGGATCTTCAGCCTCGCCTCGCACGGACAAGGCTCCCTTGCCTTCCCCATCCCACTGGGAAGAGCTTGGCTCCAGCCCCAGTGGGCTGACCACAAACCCCGTCTGCATGAATGTATTTGTTAAGACACTCATTCACGCGGTAGCCACGGCGCTGGCTGGAAGGACATACATCAGGCTTTTTGTCAAACAAAACCCATTCCAGCTGTCTGGGAGGACGAGGAAATCTGCCCTCGCGCTGCTTTGAAGGGTTTACAGTTCACTGCAGCACTTTATAGCTGCAGTTGTTTCCATAACCAAGTCCAAGAGAGCCTGTGAACAGGAAGGAATTAGGCACTCATGCAAAGACCATTAAAGTCAAGGGGAGTCTTTCCATTGACTTGAGAGGGTTTGGCTCCCAGCCCTGGATATCAGGGTCTGCTGTGAGGGATTTAGAGCAGGAAATGGGAGCAGGACTTTGCAGGTTTTCTCAGCATTTGTTATGGAGTTTAGAACAGGAGCCCCCTGGGCCCATTTCCCTGCATGTAAATTAAGGAGTGAGTGCTCATCTGAGATGCAAGGCCCTCACTGACCATCCTCCTTCTCAGTCTGGGCACCTCCTCCATCATTCCTGGGATCACAGACCTAACACAGAACAGGCTGGACTGGCACATCCCTATGGGCAACAAGATTTCCTTATGAAAGGAACAACCCACCTGTGATGTGTCAGTCCAAGAGGCAAAAATACCACAGACCAGAGGGTCCAGCAGATCTGAAAAGATCTGAAAAGTTTGTTAATCCAAAGCCCAAATTCACACTGGGGATGAACCTCCCACAGGGGTTTAAGCAGCATTTCAGTGACTCCACTTGAAGTCTGCCTGTTGAGGTGCAGCCAAGAGCTTTGCACAGGTGTGTTCTCTTGATGGAGTGCAGGAACATGCACCAAAATGTCAAAAGATCTGAGCTGCCTCCCCTGTTACGTACAGAGAAGCAGGATCTGACCTTCATGGCTTGGGACTTCACCTCTGGAAAACACTTCCCAAGGAATGTCTTCCCAGGAACCCAAAACTGCCTGCACATGAACCACAACACACTCGGGGAAACTTCAGGCTCTTTTAAAATACACCTGAGACTCTGATTGCCTGCTAAGAGGAGCAGTGGTGCTTCTCTGGGCTTGCAGGAAGAGAACTGGTCAGTGAGTTCAGGGCTGTGCCAAGTGTGTCTGCAAGTCAGGGTGGAAGGCACTGGCACCTGGGAGATGCTGGGTCATTTTCTACCTCAACCACTTCATTATTCCTCTGGTGGTAAGAACAGGGAGGACATTTCTCCACTCCAGGTGCCATGGGAAAGGTCACACCACAACCCCAGAGAGAGTGAAATGAGGAGGTTTTGAGCCTGGCCAGCACTGCATTCCCATCATCCCAGGCTGTGGGTTCACAGGAGGCAGCATCCAGTGGTTAGAGTTGTCCTTCCCGCTCCTTATGGGCAACATGTGCCTGGGAGAGGAGCAAGGCTGCAAAGAATGAGTTATTCAAACCACAGGCTTAGGAAAACCTCTGTCTCCTGGCAGATGTTCATTACTTGGGCTGGGTTTGGAAAAATAAGAGGTGACCAAGCCCTGCTTCAGCCTTCAGCGGGAAACAGAGAGACAAGAGTAGCTCAGCTGTGAGAAACTTGATCCCAGAAAGGGGAGAAAGGAGGGTGGAGAAGGAAATGCATCCTAAACCAAAACCAACTCGGTGACCCGAACGAGCTCTGATGGAGCCAGAGGGAACAGAAACACCCAAAAACCAGATGGATTGTGGTGGCTGCAGCCTCACACAGCCAGCAGGACAGGCTTCCCATGTCCAACAGGACTGGCTTCAGGCAGTGAGTGTCACCTTTCCAAGATGACAAGAGTGATGTGCCAACCCAAATATCATCTCTGTGGAGTGTTGGTGTCCAGGTTTCCTGTGCAGGAACATCCATCCCCACACCTGGAATCCCCCATCAGCCCAGAGGGAGACGCGGCCGCCTCGCCACGGGAAGTCAGGTGGGGCTTTTTTGCTTCCAGGGGGATGTGGTTTTAGGAAATGAGCTTTGCTACCACCTGCTGCAAGTTCACTGGTTTAGAGGGACAGGCTGCCAAATTCGACAGGAACTGGGGTCTCATTAACATGACTGAGGCTTTGGCAGTGGGAAGCTCCTCCGCTTCCATTTATAGGACACACCGAGAGGCCGTGGCAGGAGTTCAAGGCACCGCTGCATTAGGGAGTCTAGACAGAGCCCTGCAAGCCTGGAGAATCCCTCTTCCCTGCCCTCCTGTGCTATTCAACACCCAGCAGCATTCCTCAGGCAGGAGGGATGCAGGGAAGTATTTCATCCCCTCCTTCAAACAGACTCTTCTGTGCCACTGTGCCCCTCCAAAACCTCCTCCTCCAAAGCTCTACCTGGAGAACAGGAGGTTGCCAGCGTTGCTGCACATGCCAGCACAAACCCTTGCTTGACCAAACCCTGCCAGGCTGCTCAGAGGAAGAGAAGAAAAATTTTAAAAACTGCCTAAACCCCATGTTTTTGTTCCTATCTGGAATGAAAACAGCAGCTTTGGAGCAATTCTCGAAATATCTGCTTTTAGCTAGATTTATTCCTCCTTTTTCTTCACTCTGAGCTGAGCAGGGAAACCCACCTGCTGAGACTCTTCTGCCCCCACAGACCTGCAGGCAGTGCCCAAGCAGCTGTGCTCACTGATACCTGCCACCACCCTCAGAGGGAGCAGGAGACCTCTTGAACCTAAACCAAACATTAAAACAGAATTAATTTTAATTCGTCAGAAGACTTCTGTTGTGCTAAACAGATTTTCACGGGCTGAGGAGAACCTTGTGCTGGGAGAGCATTCCAGAATCTCCTGCAAGACAACCTGGGGGAAGGCTGGGGGAAATTGGGCAGCATTTTTCCTACCCATTGTCAGAAACTGGGATGAAATCTGGGCGACGTCTCCCCGCCTCCAACTGCTCACCCTGCAGCAGGTCTGGTGGCAAGGACTCAGTCATTCAGCAGCAATTCAAAGGAAGAAAAATAGGATCAAATGATGCTTTAGAATTTCCAGGCTTGCCTGCACAGAGAGTACATCCACGCTCTCCTAAGTGGATTGATAAGAGCTCTGAATCAGTATTAACACATGCCAGATGCTGGGGAATCATCTCCCACTCACAGCAATTACGAGGATGTCCCAGAATCCAATAAAGCAACTGAGAAGATGAGCATCTGCTGGTGGTTGTGGGGCTCCGCCACAGTGAGATAAATCTGTGTAATAAAGAGGTGTGATTTTCCTTCCCTTGAGACAGATGGCATTTGGCACTGGAGGTGTGTGATTCCTCCTCCCTGTGGTGGCTCTCCTTGGGAGGAGATGAGCAGAGCATCCCTCCTCCAGCAGGGATGAGGAGCTGCTCCCCTTATCCTGCTTTTTCTCTGCTGATACCAGGGATCACATGCTGACCCCCAAACCCCATCAGCATCCCTCAGCCAAAATTCTTCGGAGGGAACCATGAAAATCAACCCTTCACACCATCAAAGAGCATCTCCAGCCTGAGAAACCACCAGGGGAGACCTGAGAAACCACCAGGTGAGACCTTCTCCCTCTCCCTGATTTTGTTCACTCCATGCTCCAGCCATGGCAAAACTCCTCAGCTCCAGATAAGAGAATCCTGGAATCATGGAATGGTTTGTGTTGGAAGGGATCTTAAAGCTCATCTCATTCCACCCCCTGCCATGGGCAGGGACACTTTCCACTATCCCAGGTTGCTCCAAGCTCCAACCAACCTGGCCTTGGACACTTCCAGGGATGGGGCAGCCACAGCTTCTCTGGGCAGCCTGTGCCAGGGCCTTCCCACCCTCACAGGGAGGAATTTCTTCCTAATATCCCATCTAACCCTGCTCTCTTTCAATTTGAACCCATTCCTACCACTACAGCTCCTGATACAGAGTCCTCATAGCTCTCCACACAACCTTCTCTTCTCCAAAGAATCTGCAACATATTCAGATTTAGAAGCCATACAAAGTGGTGAAGCAGTGAAGGCTTCTCCCTACATAAACCAGCCCAAAATTAATCCCAGTGCAGAGGGAACACTGTGGATGACACAACAGTGATCCCATCTAGCACAAACATGGGCGAACGCGCCGCTGAACAGCGCCTTGAAAATGATAATTCCTGGAAGAAAGAGCCAGCACATTTTATTCGTGGGAAAGGCAGCAGAGCTGAGCTATATTTAATAGAGGGAAGAAGATAAAAGTAATCTCCCAGCATCTGAAAATGCAGGCTCTGTGTTGGGATAGACTTCAGCACATCCTCATGCAGTAAATGCCAGGGATGTTTCTCTCGGCGTGGGCAGCAGTTCTGGCACTGTTTGGTTTTAAGATCAGAAGCAGCCATTAAAGCATCTCCTGTGAGCTTCTCTTCACCACAAGCCAAAATGTTTCATCCAATAACTGAAGAGGGCTGAAGGTTTGATAGTTCAGAGCTGTTTGCAACGACTGACACAGCACAGGCCAGGGCCAGCTGAGCTCCAGCCGCTCCTGCCTCCAGGGCCCTTCTCCCTCCTTAATTCATTCCCTGCCCTCACAGACAATTTTTACTCCCATTTTCCTTCCCAGAGCTTTCTCAGACAACGTGGAGAAAATGAGCTGAGGGAGAACAGTACGAAGCAAAGTCTGAGCAAACGTGGGGGACCCTCAGTACCAGCAAACATCACCCACCTGGGACCACGTGCTCACCTCTGGAGCATCCTCCAGGCTCCCAAACCTCCCACCCTGCTGAAATCCTCCTGCCAGGAAGACTTCCAAAAGACCTCCAGACTCAGTGGTCCTTGAAGAATATGCTCCTTCTTTTCATTTCATTTTCCTTTGGGCTTTTCCTAAAGCAGAGCTTTTTAATCCACATAATTTCCTACAAACACCTGAAAACAAACACGACCGGAATCTGTTGTAGCAGCAGCATCCATTTAAAAAGCGCTGAGCGGCCCCAAAGTCACCCAATATACTTAGAGTGTCACAATGTTAACACTGAAATAATTTTACAAGTCGATTTTTATGTAAATTGGTGCTCAGTGTTTACTTCTGGTAAGATTAAAATGCTTGGCATCAGCTCCGGGTTTTCAGGACTGTGGATTCAATTTGCAGAGGGCACCTGGGAGAGAGGGGGGATGGTTTTTTTTCCTGGGGAATAATACTGCTTGTTTGAAACATCTTAAAGGCTATGAAACCATCATTCTGGATCCTGGCTTGTGAGAAAGCTGAAGTTTTAAAAACAAAATTACATTTGGAGTCAAACTCACCTTATTCCTTTCAAAAAGATGCTGCTTTTCTTCTTAAACCTTTAACTTTGACCCTTTTGTGTTTAAGATCTTCCTGTTTCTGTGTCCCCAGTACCTGGGCTGAGTTTCCCTTCTATCATTTGGGATCTTAGCACAGAACTACAACTATATCAACTCCATCAAATATACTTTTAATGTCCCCACTAGGGGACTTTAAAAATGAGCTTTAAAGTACAAATTTAATGGCTTAGGATATAATTTAGTTCATATGCAGTATTTGACTCTAAAAGCTCGTGTAAATATTTAATCAATTCATGCACCAAGTCCCCTTGCAGGGAACACAGTTAAGATATTTTGGCTCCTATTTTTTTGGGAGGTAGATCTGTGATAGAGCTTTCCTAAGGGTTGGAGGCAAAGTGCTGCCAGCAACACCAGCTGCAAGGCTGTGTAGAGAAAGGTGCTGGTTTGGGGGGCCAAAAAGGTCCCAATCACAGAAGCGCAGGGCTCAGTGTGGCCAAGTCACACAGGAACCCTCAGCTTAACTAAACCCGACCACTTCACCTGGTTTAGGGACTCTACAGCATTTAATAAACACTTTATTAATAAACAATGAAGTGGTAACATCACCAAGAGCACAGAGCGAGGCTGTGCTGGGGTGTTTGGCTCCATCAAGGTCCACACACAGGGAGGAAAGGAGAAGGCAGAGGCCAGACAAAGAAAGAATCAGTTGTCACCTTGTTTTGAAGGACATTTTGCACTTTTGCTTCCCCTACTTAACTGTGCCTCCAGCTAGAGCTAAACATTGCCACACCAGCAAAAAAACCCAGCCCTGAGGAGATCTGGATACTTGAGGATCTCATAAAATGACAGCAAGCTCAGCTATAATTATTGCCCTGTAATCTGCATGTCATGAATAAGTTGGTAATTCAGCAATAGCTGCAATCACTGCACACAGTTGTTTGCTCCTTGCATTGAACTAAAGTGGAGGGGAAGATGGACAACAATTGGGTCCTGTGTAAATATTCATTTTTCAACCCTTTTTGGTCAACAGACCCTTAACATTTTTATTTTGGAGGCCCCACACAACAAAAGGAGGGAAGGAGAGCAGGGTCTTGCCTCCCTGAGCTGATGTCTGCACACCCCAAAACCACCCATTAGCCTCAGGGTGAGCCGAGGGCTGGGAAGAAAGGTGGGTAATTTGGAAAAGGGAAAAACAAAAAATCTTTAACCACAACTAAAACTGAGGCTTTTCTCTTGCTGTTCTTTGAGCCATTTGGTTCACAGATGTTTTTAACAGCCTTCAGAGTGTGGGAGCCAGAGCCAGCAGGGCACCCACACCATGGCCAAGGGGAAAACTTGCTGTTCTGATCTCATTTTGAGTACATGGACTAAATGTTCATGTTTTGTGCAGGGAAAAATACTGAAAAAGTTGATTTGGAAACCACAAGTGGCCCCATCTACCCACACAGTGGGTGGATGGAGTTCCAGCAGTGCCAGGGTGGAGAAGGAGAACAAACACCTCTTGTACCTCCCAGATCTGATGGAGGAGATTGTTGCTTTGAGCTATCCAACATATTTTTGCACATCAGGTTTGCTCCATGACTTATTTTTGACAAAACAAGTCAGATTATCTCTGCAGCCAAAATCAGCTCTAGAAGTGCTTGAGCCATTGGTACCATCACAGAAGTGAGTTTGCTGTAAGGTGACAGACAGACCCAGAGGAACATCTGGAGCAGCAGAAAGCAAAGGGACAATTTCAGCAGCTTGCAGGAACAGCTGGGTCTTTTCTCACTGCCAATTAAACAGTTTCCATGGCAGTTTCTTACATAGATTAACCATCCCCACACACCAACGTGGCTCTGCAGTTCCACCAACCAGGACACAAGGAACGAGAGCTCCACAGCCTTTTGCTTCCCACCACCACAGAAAACCAACTGCCAAGGGCAGGAAGAACCTTATATATAAAATAATAACCTCTGTGGTTATTGCACACAGCAGATGAACAAATCCAGTTCATTGGCATTTGCCTCTGGATGAGCAGCAAAGGAACAAAAAACCCCAAGGACAAGCACAAACCCCCCCAAAAGAGCCCTTGTGTTACACTCAGTAGCTCACTGGAGAAATGTGATACCATAGAAATGCTTTAGCTCCAGCTGAATCCATGTGTGAACATGAATTACGTGGAATAATTCACTGTGCACTGACTTTCACCACAGGCTCTAAGATTCAAATCCATGTTCTTTCCAAATTGCTGTAATTTCCAGCCCATCTCCTGTGATGAGGTACATACAGCCAGCCTGAAATCCCCCCCTGGCACTTTAATAAAGAGTTTAACCTGAGATATAATTTACTAAGAATTTAAATGTGTGCTCAGGAAGATCTATTTCTGCTGCAGGAACTTGCGCTAAAATTAGCATCAGCTCCCTCCAAGGTTTTCTCCATGGAGCACATTGGGCTTGGATGGAGAAGTCTACTTGTGCCCTTTCCCATGGACTGTAGGGGCTTGAAAATATGGAGAGAAACAAGATCAAAGATGTTTGCCACTCTTGGAGGTCCCAACACCCATCCTGGCCCTTTCCTGTGCACTCCAGTCCACTCCAGTCTGTTGTCCAAGATTTTTTGTCTCAGGGGCTGTGAGGGTGGTGAGACCCTGGCACAGGTTGCCCAGAGAAGCTGTGGCTGCCCCTGGATCCCTGGAAGTGTCCAAGACCAGGTTGGACAGGCCTTGGAGCAACCTGGGCTAGTGGAAGGTGTCCCTGCCCTTGGCAAAGGGTGAGACTGGATGAGCTTCAAGGTCCCTTCTAACACAAACCATTCCATGACTCTATTAGGAAAACCTGCTAAGTTGTTGATGTGACTGAAAAATCACAGCAGTTCAAACAATTCAGGTCCTTCTGTACTCACCTGATTCTCCAGATCAACACTTTCCCTTCAGGCAGCAACTCCCTTTCTTCTCTGCACAGCATTCCCTGCCCTGGTGCTCATCCTTGGTGACAAGGGGTTAATAAGGAAGTCAAGGAAGGACAGAGTGGGAAAACAGCTGAATTTTCTGCTGATAAGAGACTCCTCCTCCTGAACCTCATTAAAACTACCCTGATTATTTTCTTGCTTCAAAAAATATCTTACTGCTGGTTCTCCAGCAAGACAGTGAGTTTTCTGGTGTGAAAGGGGTGAACCAACTGTAAGTGACCCCTAAAGCAGTCCTGGAGGGCAGATTAAGTCAAAGACCATTGCTCTGGTGCAGGAACTCATGTTTAAAATGCTGGAGGCATTTTACACAGAGACAATTGATCTACATGAGGTCCCAGTGCCATAATTTCCTCTTAATTTGATATGCACACATGATTGCGCTGCAGACAAATAAAGACCCCTGGGAGAACACACCTGGGCTCAGCAGCTCTCCTTTAGTGCAAGGCATTAACTGATTCTCCTGATTTTGTATCCTACTGGTGAAAAAAAGCCCTCAACACTGGGGTTGACTTCCAACAAAGTGAGAAAACAGGAAGCAAAGCTGACAAGCAGCTAAGGCCCAAATATTTCAAGCTGTTTGATGGTAAAAAAGCCAGAGGAGGAAGCGAGTGATCTATCTGGGTGTTGATTGCCCAGATCCAGCAGGCACATCCATCCTGGAAACACTAGGAATGGAGCAGTTGCCCTCTCAGGGTCCTTCCTGGCTCTTTCCATTTGTTCTGATTTTTGTTTTATTCATTTTTAATTTATGCTGCATTTATTGCAGAATAAGCTATTTAACAAATCCCCGCCGTGCAGCTCCCTGCGCGAGCTCCGTGTTCCAAAATCGTTGCTTTTATTACCAAATACTGTGCCCACAGAGAGCTCCCCCAGCAGGGTTATTGCCTGCAGCCCTTTCCCAGAGCCAGCACAGAGCCAAGGTTAAGATGACCCCGAGATTAATATGTCAGGAAGGGGAAAAACAAATAGAAACACACACACACACACAAAAAAACCCTCCGGAAAAGCTGGGCAGGGATGTGGTGCCACAAAAGCTGCCTGGGAAGGGGAAGGATCTTCCCCACTGGCTGATATTGTGGTTATACACACACCTACAGCATCTTTACTAGTGGCAAGTAACATCTTGCTGCTCTGCAGTTTGCTTTAGACCATCCCAATTTACTGGTGCTTTTTAATGAACAATTTCAATTGTGGATTGAGGATGAAAGGACTTTCCCCCCTCCCCTCAGTTTAACAAACACTGAACATCAGTTTGTGATTGAGAAGTTCACTCCCTTTCCTTTTCTTCCCTTCGTAGTTTTGAAACATGAGGGCATTTCCAAAAAATCAAGGTGTATATAGAGGTGCTGGAATAAAACACCAGTGATACTTGTATTATTAGTATGAGTATTACTGGCCCTTCCAAAGCTACCCAAGGGCCTTCTCAAATCCATGATCCCACCTATCACAGGCCCCCAGGATACCCATCTTTCCCTGCTTTAACAGTTCTACTTCATCTTCCTGCTAAAAAACCAGCCATAATTTCCCAGCCTGTCTGCCTGTGGTTTTCCCTGGGACAAGATGCACCATCATAGACCAAACAGCAACCAAGACTGTATATTTTCCTCTAAATAATTGAAATCAGTGTTCTTGCAGACACAGAGGAGTCAGCCAGCCTCCTCCATGGAGGGATCCAATGTACAACTACAATTAACTCATGAGATACTTATTAGCTACTGATAAATTAATGCTGCTTTTTTTTTTTCCTCAGAGTATTTACTCCTGGGGATAAAGGTGTCCCATCTTCCATCACAGCCTCCAAATGGGAGATTGGCTGTTCTCTTTTGTGGTCTGGATGAACTGGTGCTGGGCTGAGAGCTGGAAGTTTGGGATCCATCTGTGATTTTCCCATCGATGGAAGGAAGCACAAAGCCCTTCATTTTCTCTGCTTTGTAAACTATGCTTGTCCCATCCACTGTCACACTTTCAAATTATTATACAGAGAGTCCCACACCAGCCCTCAGTGATTTTACTGGGAAACTGGTGGGCAGAGGAGCAATTGCAAGTCTTGGAAAATGTTACAGCAGCTTTGGAGGGAGGTTCAAACCCTCTGCCTTGGGTTTGGGTGCCTGGCCCAGCCAATGGCAAAGGGAACATCTGTGCCTCTTCCCAGACCTTCTGCTCGGTTTCCACTGCACTGTCTGCTAAGAATAGACCAAAAAAATAATAAAAGTTCCCCTCTCTGAAAGCCACTGAAATAAAATAAAAACCCTTCTGCAAACAATCTGCATTTTATCTTCTTAATGCCTCTAAAGCCTCCACTTGTCTCCAAAAATAATTGCAACCAGCAAGGGTCGAAGAATATGTCCTTTCAAATCATGGACCAGATGTTCTACTGAGACCACTACACAGTTAACTCCCAATAAAAGTAATTCAACAAACTAAACACTGATTAAATAATGTGCACACACAGCCCAGCACAAGAAATGTGATTTGCTGTTATTTAACCTTTAACGACACCCACTGTTCCCTTCCTCCTTGCCAAGGGCGAGTCTGGCCATTGGACAGGGTTGTTTTGGTTTTTCCTATCTTGGAAATCAGATCTTATAAACTCAACACAAGCTGAGCCACTGCCCAGCCGGCCAAAAACCCCCCAGTGTTGCTCAAGAGGTCAGTGCTGTTTTCCAGCCCATCCCAGCACGTCCAAGACAAACAGCCCCGTGTCACCCGCTCTGCAGGGACGTGCAGGCAGCCCTGCCCTTGTGCTGGCTCTGTGCAGGTCACCACCACCTTCCTCCACGAGCTCTGCTTGCTGCAGACCTTTTTTAGGCTCCCAGGGTTGGTGTCCATCAGTTGGATTTCAGGTGGGAGCATGGGGAGCGCAGCAGAGCCTCCTCATCCGCCACACACCGTGCGAGGGCTCACGGCTTGCTCATCCTCCCGGGACAACATGGTGTTGGGATTGATCATGGGAAGCTGCCACAGCCCCTCAAGGCTTTGTTCTAAACAACACACCAGCTCCAGAGATGCTCAGAGGAGAGAGGGAGGGGGGAAGCAGAGCTGAGCTGGAGGAGGCAGCCCCGGCACACGACAGCCGCTCGCTTGGACCGTGGAGGTGGATTCCTCCGGTTTGTGCTGAGCAGTGCAAAAGCTCATTGCCAACTGGGATAGCAACCACCCAGCCTCCCGAGCCTGGAGCAGCTGGGAGCTTGCTGAGGCCAAGGGATGAGCCTGGAACAGCAGCTGAGCCTGGAAGAGCAGCCAGGAGAGGTAGATGGGAGGGAAATGAAACCACGAGTTGATGGGAGCTGCTGCCAGGGCCAGCAGGTTGGAGGGGAAGTGTTAGGGGTGTCATGCCTGGGGCACCTCTTACCTTCTGCCTTCCCAGTCCTGCGGCAAAGGGGGCTCCAGATTCATTCCCGCTTTGCCTGTTTCTAAATGTTCCCTTTTATACCCTGTAATTGCATTTTTGTACCAAAAAATCCCCTGGAGTGAACAGAGGCTTCCTCTCTCAAAAGACTCATCTCCAATGCAAGTGGAGAGGCACTAATTGCCCTATCAGGGTCTCCAGGGCTTTCCTCTGTATTGTTAGCTATCAAAAATGTGTTCTTAATTTCAGCATTTAGCCCAAATATTTCATTTTTAATTACAGGCTGAGGCAGAGCGTGAGACAGTCCAGAGCAACAGCAAAGGCTTCTCCCACCAAGCCAGCACAGCACAGGCTGGGGAGGGATCTCACACAACCCTGGTGGTGGGAAACCCCCAGTCCTGGGGGGTTCAGGCAGAGGGGACCCCACCAAACACCTTGTGAGAGGCACCACCTTCCCTGGGAAATAAACCCCAGCCCTGGCACGAGGGTGGGAGATGCACTTTGGGGGCCACAATGACCATGACCAACAAAACAACCACCACCACCACAACCATCACCACCATCACCACCACCACTATCACGCAGGAAAAAGATAGACCTGGTTCTCTGAGTCCTGAGTGGACCAGCCAGACCAGGAGCAGGACTGGAACTGAGGGATGTGCTTCTGGCACGTCCATGCCATGATGTGCTCAGACACATCTTGATTGTGGAGCAGCAAATGCAGAACTTGGCTCCTCCAACTCGTATTTTTATTTTGTCTGTAATGTTGTGTAGCTGCCTTGGTGTTTAATACTTGTAACTAATGACAGTGAGAAAGGGATAGTTCTCATCTCCTCCCTTTTCCAAACTTTACAATCTGCAGGGTGGGACCAGGGCAGCCCTGCAGCATTTCAAGTGAAAAAGACAAAAAGCAGCAGACAGAGGAATTTACCTTTTGGCAAGTGAGAGGCATCTCTAAGGAAGATGATTTTTAAATCCACCCTGTGTGAAAGAATTCAAATGACATACTTACAACTCCAAAATATTGTAAGTTGCATGTCTGGAAAAACAAGAGGAATATCCTTTGTTAAAACACGACTTTGCAAAGGATTCCTGGTTCCTATCTGAAACACAAAGGGAGTCTTTTTTAACACGAGATGTCATCATACATTTATTTAAAGCTTTAATGATATGTTTTGGGACATCATCTACGCCTGAACATTCCTCCACTGCAGTTGTGTGGAAGAGGGAGGGGGTTTTTTTTCCCCCCATCTTTAAATAGTAAATGAGGCCAATTATCTCATGGTAATTCCAAACGCTAATTTGGTTCCGCTGTAGCTGTCAGTGGCCTATCAAAGCAGCATTTCCAGGTTAATTTTAGGAACACATCCACCCTTTCCAGGCTGCAGAGCCTGAGAGTGGGGAGTGATGCTCAGCTGCAGCCCAGGGACTGCCAGGGCTACGCACAGACCAGGTACAGCCTGGCAGCAGAGCCACCAACCAAGAAACCAGGACACAGAGAGATGCTGAGGGATGGAGAGAAACTCCAGAGGGATCCCCCCAGCTCCCAAGGGACTCCAAGCCATGGATGAGCAGGGAAGCATCGCTGGGCAGGCACAGCCCAGGTAGCACTGTCATTGCTGAGCTGTTCTAAATAATAACAGTGATTTTGCATCCCAGCACGTCGGGAGCTGGCAGTCACTGAAGGCTTTGGGAAGGACCTCAGCGCTTTGATTTATTACAGATTAATGGGATTGATTTATTACTTTTTGTTTCTTTTTTAAGTGGGCTCATTAAAAGCGAAACGATCTTCCTGCCGAGCGTGCAAACAGCAGAGCCACGGGCCCGGGCACTGCTGGTTCCTGGTGCCTTTGTTCAGAATCAGCCTTGCAAACCAGGGAAGATTTATTAATGGTTCCTGGGAGAGATTAGCAACGGGGAAACAGCTCAGGGAGGATTAGGAGCCAAGCAAGTATTAGCCAGTTTTTTTGATGGAGTGTTTGTCGAAAGTTGCTCTTTTGAGTTTGGAGTGAGGCAGTGAGTGCCCTTCAGTGGGCTGGCAGCCACGGAGCAGGCTCTGCTCCCAGTGATTCATCCGGGTCTGCTGAATTCCAAGGTTTGTTAACTTCAGCTGGTTAATCTTTTTTAATATTTTTTTTTTAAATAAGAATCCTATTGTTAGTCCCTCTTAGGCTGTTGCTTTGTATCAGGCTTATGATGACACTGGTTTGGGGAAGCTGCCAGGTCACCTGGAGGGACTGAGGACCTCGGTGTTCCCAGACAGAGTGTGCAGCTGCAGCACAACACGCTTTGCTCTCTCCTAAGCAACCTCACCAGAGAGCCAGAGATCATTTCCCCCCTTATTTACATCCAATTTTATATCCTGAAAGTTTCTTCTCCCCTTCAGTGTCAGGGGGATCAGCTCTGAGGCTTCCCACCCTACAGACCCCAACCCAGCACCTGTGAGCAGGGCCCCTTGCCCACCCAGTGCCCCCTAAGCCTTTCCAAGACAGGCAGGACCCTAAAATTTTCCCTCTTGATACCTCTTGTCTGGTTTAGAGCCTGAAGGAATCCAAGTGCAATCATTACACCAGTTTTGTCCCCAAAGGGCAGAGAAGGACAGGCACAGCCAGTGCCCCCAAAAGCCAAGCAGGGTGGGGAGCACCTCATTTGCTCCCACCGATCCTCACTGGCCACAGAAGCACCAGCTGCTTATGATTTTTCTGACACTCTGTGAAAAAACACATAAAGCTTGGTATTACAGAAAAAAAAAGTTTAGAGCAAACCCCAAAAATCTGAAACCCAAATATCAAAAGATGAAGGAATTTTGAAATTGCATTTCTAACTGAGAACAGCCCCTGACTTCCAAAGATCAAGAGACCCAGGGGACAGATGTGCTCCACCTTCCTCCAGCCACAATTCAGCCCAGGATCGTCTTCTCTCCCCTCGTCAACCAAAGGGCCCTCTCAGGCTCCAGGACAGATGCTCAGCCAGGAGGTTCACCCTGTCTGCACAGTCCCAACCCCTTGATCCCAGGACACTTCCCCGAGCCTCCCCTGGCCGTGCTGCACGCAGATCCGAGCCCTGCTCCAGCCAGCTGAAAACATAATTGGCTTTTTCTGCAGTTTATTTTTTGTTCCGCCTTCAGCACGGTGCTGGAGCCAGGCTAGTCTGGTCACGCTCCCCTTGTTTACAGCCAGTTTCTCCTCCGTTCCCCTCCCTTGGCCTGGTGCTCTCCAACCTGTCCCTTGCTGGGCTCCCCACCCCGCTTGAAGCCGGGCTCTCCATCCCTCCAGGACGAGCCCGATGGGTCCCAGCCCAAGCACATCCCCACGGCCCAGCCTCTCCCAGCGAACTGCAGGGAGGAGTTTCCTCAACTATATGTTTTTTTCAGGAATTAAGAAAATACAAGCGGTGTCTGAACCATCCACGGCAGGAGGGCTGCCAGCCCAGCTGTGGGGGCACAGACCCCCCCTGGGGCTCAGCCCGCAGCCACCCAGAGCTGTTCGAGCGCCCCATCCCCGCACCCACCGCGAGCCCCCGCAGCAGCGACACCCGCCCCCCTCCAGCTCCTGCCAAAGGTTCCGCCGGGAGGGCTTCCCACCTTTCGGGAGAGGGGACGAAGCCCCCGGAGGAGCGAGGGCGAGGGAGACCCTCCACCTGCCCGGGGGGCTGCGTTGTGCGGCCGGGCGGTGCTCCGGGGGGGCGGGCGGTTCTGCTCGGTCCCCGCACCGCCTCGGGAGCATCCCCCCGCCAGCACCGCGACCCGCATCCCTCGCCGGGGGTGACTCCCGTCCTCTCCCACCCCCGATCCCCCGCCCCGGGCCCCGAGCAGCCCAGCCCGGTCCCCGCCCCGAGGTGCCCGCACCCCCCGGCTCCGCCGCTCGAGCTCCCCCGTGCGCCCTGCCCCGGGAGCCGGCGGCGGCGCGCCCGGCGCTGTCCCCATCCCCGTCCCCGTCCCTGTGCCCGTCCCTGTGCCCGTCCCTGCCCCGCAGCTCCCGCACCGGCCATGCCGGGGCCGCGCCGGGACCGCCCGGCCGTGCTGCTGCTGCTCGGGGCTCTGCTGGCCGCCGACCTCTACTTCCACCTCTGGCCGCGGGCGCGGCGGGAGCTGCAGGGGCAAAGGGTTCCGTCCCCCTGGGGCTGCCCCTGCCGCCGCCGTCCCCCCTCCGCCGGGACCCCCGGCCCGCGCCCTCCGCCCCGCGCCCGCGCCGCCCCCGCGCTGCGCCGCCTCTTCGCCCACCCGCTGTACCGCACCGCCCCGCCGGGCCCCGCCGAGCCGCTGCTGGGCGCCCGCGAAGCCCTGCGCTACTACCGGCGGAAGGCGGCTCGCTGGAACAGGTGCGTCCCGCCGCCGCGGCACCCCCGCACCGGGCACCCTCTGTGCGGGCATCCCCTGCGCGGGCATCTCCTGGGCACCCCTTTCCTGGGCACCCCCTTCCCGGGCACCTCCTGCGCGGGCACCTCCTGGTCAC